TGGTGTTCGACATCCTGGATGGCCTGGTCACGGGCTTCCTCCGCAGCTATCCTGGCTTGCCGATCTTTCTGGTAGCCGCTCGTGCCATTGTTTTTCCCTCCACAGCCAGAGTATGTCCATCAACATCCAGGTCGCGCCCTGGAGCCCCGAGGAACGGTGAATGTGGATGCGGATATCCATATCCACCGCTCCCCGAGGCCCTTGGGCACAATCCCGAAGAAGTGGATGTGGATATATCCTGGCGGTCAATTCATGGGTTTGCCATCTCGCGAAGGGCGGCGGGATCGGGGAACGGCGGCATCGGCGCCCGACGGGGCCGCGGCTGCGGAGGACGCGGGGCGCCGCTTGAGCCTGGTCATGTCTGTGGCCCAACATGGATGCCGCCGTTCGCCGCCCTCGCACTTTCTTTCGGTCTGCCCCCAACCATTTCTGGAGGCCCAGCAAAAAAACATTTCTGCAAGTAGGACAACGGTTTTCCAGAAGCTCGGACCCTATCCACTCTGGGGGGCCTCTTGGGGCCTCTTGGGGGTCTCTTGGGAGCCTCTTGGGGGCATCCTGGGGGCCTCTGGGGTGCCTCTTGGAGCCTCCTGGCCACCTCTTGCGGCCCTCTTGGGGCACCCTTTGGAGCCTTGGGAGCGCTCTTGGGGCCATCTCGGAAGAGATCGATCAAAGAATGGGGGGCCCTCAATTAGCGCTGCCCCCCCAAGATGCCAAAATGGAGCCAAGACCACTGTAAAACCAATGAGTTTTGTTTCCTCGCCGAGGCCGTTCTGGACGCTCCGACGACCCGCGAAACGCCCTCTGCATGTCCAGGGGAGGGGGTAGGGGAAGGGGTAAACCCTTCCCCGAAGGGGAAGAAGGGTGTGGAAGAGGAAACGCCCTAAACCACCTACGCCCTAGAGGGCTGGTGGGATTCGTGCTCCGATGGGGCTCCTCTTACGGCTGACTTGGGCTGTCCAGGGGGCCTCGTGGGCCGTCTTGGGCCCATCTTGGGAGTCTGTTGGGCCCATCTTGGGATTCTGTTGGGCCGTCTTGGGGCGATCTTGAAGGTCTCTCGGTCAGTGTTGGACGCGCTGGACCTCGAAACGTCGTGAATGGACAACATGTACGTTTCTTGAAAGGGGATGGGGCACATTTTCCCGGAGAGGGCGGGGGCCAGGGTTCTCTTTTAGTATGTTATCCCCCGGTTTCGACGGCTGTAGGGCTGGCGGAATTATTTTGCGAAAAATAACGAGGTCGCCTAGGGCCGGCGGAGTTATGTTTGGCGATGCCTCGAGCGAAACGCTTGTTTGTTTCAGAATTTGTTGAGGATGTCTCGAGCGAAACGCTTGTTTTGTGTTATAGATTGTCCTCTCCTGGGGCCAGAATTCAGGGGATCTCTCAAGTGAAATGCTTGTTGTCACGTGCCCAGGTCTTGAGGATATCTCGAGCGAGACGCTTGGCTTCACGCCTCCAGGTTGCCCCGGCAGAGGTCTAGCGCCAGGATTTGCTGAGGATGTCTCGAGCGAGACGCTTGGTTTCACGCGTCTTCGTCGCCTAGGCGGATGTCTAGCATGAGGATGTGTTGAGGAAGTCTCGATCGAGATGCTTGTTTGCACGTGTCCAGGTTGCCCAGGCGGATGCCTAGCATGAGGATGTGTTGAGAATGTCTCGAGAGATAGGCTTGTTTTCACGTGTCCAGGTCGCCCAGGCGGATGTCTAACATGAAGATGTATTGAGGATGTCTCTCGAGAGACGATTGCTTTCATGTGTACAGGTCGCCCAGGTGGATGTCTAGAATGAGGAGGTGTTGAAAACGTCTCGAGCGAAACGCTTGTTTCCACGTGCGCAGGTCACCCAGGCGGACGTCTCACATGAAGATGTGTTGAGGATGTCTCGACCGAACCACTTGTTTTCACGTGTCCAGTTCGCCCAGGCGGATGTCTAGCATGAGAATGTGTTGAGGATGTGTTGAGCGAAACGCTTGTTTTCACGTGTCCAGGTCGCTCACGCTGATGTCTAGCATGAGGATGTTGCCAGGATGTCTTGAGCGAAGCGCTTATCCCCGGCACGTTCCGTAGCGCGTCCCCTTAGCACGTTTCGCGATGCGTCCCCATGGCACGTCCCCTGGCACGTCGCTTGGCGCGTCCCTTGAGACGTTCCGCGGCGCGTCCTCCTGGCATGCCCCCCGCTGTCAATGAGCTCTGGGGCAGCTACTATGTGTTCAGGCAGCTCGAGCTTAAGATTCAGGTCAGTTCGGTCAGGACTCGGATGCAAAGGAGGACTCGATCCACGACGCTATAAAGCACAATCGCGGCATGGCACATCGCAATTCAGCACGGCGCAGCACAGCACAGACTTCGGCACGGAGCATTACAACTTGGCACGCGTGGCGCGTCCCCTGGCACATCCCGTGGCACATCCATTGGCACGTTCTGTAGCGCGTCCCCTTGGCACGTCCCGCGGTGCGACCCCATGTCACGTCCCGTGGCACGTCGCCTGGCGCGTCCCTTGGGACGTTTCGCGGCGCGTCCTCCTGGCATGTCCCCTTGTCAATGAGCTCTGGGGCAGCTGCTATGTGTTCAGGCAGCTCGAGCTTAAGATCCAGATCAGTTCGGTCAGGACTCGGATGCAAAGGAGGACTCGATCCACGACGCTATACAGCACAATCGCAGCATGGCGCATCGCAATTCAGCACGGCGCAGCACAGCACAGCCCTCAGCCGGGTAAAGCAAGATCGATACACTCAGCATTGCATTTGCCCGTCACCCAATCAGGTGTCATTGAAAACGCTGCCACGCGTTACATTTCTATATTCCTTTCCGGGTTCGTGGGTCGATCATGTTGCTTGTTGAGGCTCTCTAGGGGAGCCTCGTGGGGCTCTCTTGGGGCTTCTTGACGTGTCTTCGGCCGTCTGGAGGCCATCTTGGGTGTCTTGGGGCGATCGTGCGGGTCGGCAGGCTGGAAAGTTCAATTCGAGCTCCCCCGATGGGGCCCCTCGTAGGGCTGTCTAGGACTATCCAGGGGGCCTCGTGGGCCATCTTGAGGCCCTCTTGGGCCGTGTTGGGTCCATCTTGGGAGTCTGTTGGGCCGTCTTGGGGCGATCTTGAAGGTCTCTTGGGCAGTGTTGGACGCGCTGGACCTCGAAACGTCGCTTATGCGCAACATGCACGTCTTCTGAAGGGAATGGAACACTTTTTGCTTGTTGAGGCTCTCTAGGAGAGCCTCTTTAGGTCTTTAGGCTCTCTTGGGGCATCTTGGCGGCGTCTTGGGCCGTCGCACAGCGACCGAGGGCGCCTCGGACCGTCTGGGGCACGTCACAGGGCTCTCTTGGAGCGTTCCTGGGGCGCTCGGGAAGCCTGGAAGGCAGCGCCGAGGAGGAAAGCCATCTCTGGGCCTCACCTTGCCGGGACCTGTCCGGGTACTTTTTGGTTCGAGGGCCCCCAGGGGCCGCCCCACGCGGGCGAACTAGAAAATTGCAAACCAGTAGAAGGAGTTCTTAGCACGCCTCTGGCCCGTTGTGCCGGCGAATGTTCGACCGATCTCGCCAAACGCTGACCCGTGATGGAGCATTGGACAAGTGGTTGAAAGATGCACGTCAAAACAACTCAGAAGAAGAGGTGATCAACATGATCATGGAAATGCGCGAGAAAGTGAACGCACTAGATGGTAGGATTCAGAAGCGGAGTGAGAATGCGCGGGCATCAAGAGATCCCGATGCAGAAGTAGCAGATCAAGCCCCAAAGGATGCCCTCGCAGCAAAAGCAATGCAAGTATTCCGCATGGACCGGCCCGACTATGAGCAGGCCCGGGAGAAGTACAGTGTGGACAAGGTTTCACATGCGATACTATGTTTTGACATCGAAGTCAAGTTGTCGAGAGTAAATCGCGCTGTAATGAAACACGTTAAGGCTGCTGCATGTCGTTGTCCGATGGAGGTCCAGGAAGCTGCAATGCAGTCCCTTGACTTGGATTATACAGGAACAATCAACAATCATGCTGTTCGTGTACTGAACATGTCGAGTCCCAGGCAGGGGATATGCATTCATGGCGGTGTCGTATGTAAACCACATAAAGGGAAAGCAAAGGTTGCTGTAATGCTTGGGATGGCTACATTCACCCTGAATGCAGACGCCCCGCGTGTTCTAAATCTCGAGCAGGTTGCGGCTGCGCTGCGTGTTGAAGTAGCGGATTTTGTGATTCGAGAAACTTTGGGAACACATTCGATCGACATTGCGCTGGCTGACAGCGTGAAGTGTGTGAATGCCTAACAGCACACAGCATCATGAGCATAGCCATCGATTCAATCATTGGTTCCATGTGGCTTGTATGGAAAACACGGCGCGAGGATCGGCGGCGAACCCGGGGGGGAAGTGAGGGGGCAGGGCTTCTCAGCAGCCCTCGCGCCTTCTGGGAAGCCTTGAAAGCCTTCTCCGAGAACGGAGACGGCCTCTCAGAAGGCGCGAGGGCTTCTGATAAGCCCCGCGGCATTCTAAGAAGGTCTGCTCCCGCTCGCTTCCCTCTCGGGCTCTCCGTCAAGAGGAGTCGGCTTCGCGTAAGAGTGGCCTTACTTCGGAGTGACCCGTGGTGCGGGTTCACTTGGGTCCCCAGATGACCGGACGCGATGCGATAGCAGCGCTTTGCGTGCTCGAGCACGAACTCCCCACGGCCCCCGAAAGTCGCCCACCAAAGGCCACAATGGCCTGGGGCCATTACTTGCGTGTAGCCGAGCGGGGGCCAGGATTTCGCATTATCTTGTTGATGCCGATCTTGGTCATGGTCCATGCCGGCCGTCGCCGATTCGCGAGGATGGCCCGCGAATTGACGTTGACCAAGACCGACGGTGAACAAGGTCGACGCGACGTTTTCGCGATCAGCCTTGGCCATGGTCGAGCAGGGTATCGATCACACAATGGATTGACCTTCGAGATTGATCCTATCGTCAGTGCACTCCCAGGCCTGGGCAGCCCTGGTCGCAGAGGGGGAGGCCTGGGGCCGCGGGCGCCGGCCTGCCGTGCCAGGAGCCGTGCAGCCGACGAAGGCCGCCGCGCAGCCGCTGCTGAAGAAGCCCCTGGGGAAGCCG